TGGGTAAGACGATAAACTACATCCGCGTCCTGGGTAAGACGATAAACTACATCCGCGTCCTGGGTATGACGATAAACTACATCCGCGTCCTGGGTAAGACGATAAACTACATCCGCGTCCTGGGTAAGACGATAAACTACATCCGACAGCAAGGCCTCGGATCAGCAGGTTTTGAGAAGCATGGAACCACCTCTTAATTGCTGGTGTTCCCAGGTCCACTCTCAACCTGGGTGGCAACACCTGTTAGGGTCCCAGACATGGACAAATATTTAACACCAAAAGGTCCAAAACACTATGAAAGTATGAAAAAAAGCTTTCATTATTTTTTTGGAAAATTTTTACCAGCAACACATTTTTGAAGAAAAAAAAGTATTACCAGCAATACATGTTTCTTTTTTTTTGAATATTACCAACAATAAATTTTTCAAAAAAATATTACCAGCAATAAAAATGTTGTCATCATTAAATAATATATTGAGGTTGATAAGCCGTAAAACAAATGAAGCCAAATCAAACTAAACCAAATATATATGGGAAGTAATAATTTTTGAAAAAGAAATATTACCAGCAATACATTTTTTTTAAAAATATTATCAACTATATATTTTTGAAAAAAATATTACCAGCATTAAAAATCTTGTTGAAGACAAATCTTTTGAATCATCATCATGCATTTACGAGTGTTGTGATGGCTGTGGCTTGTGGGACCAACTCCTAAATAGATGCTTTCCGATCATTACAATCTTAACCTGTTCAAGTCTAGAGTCAACCGTTATCTTTCGCACATATCCTCATTTTTTTCTACATTATTTTCTACTACTGTAAATGTTTTTTTGGGAGGGAGGAGGGAGGAGTGATACTCAATGTTTGAATAGACGTCCTGTTTTGAAAGTATTAACTGCACCTAACGACCCGCGCATTCGAGAGATTTATTAAAGATTATGGGCTCTCCGGTCCTGCGTCAATTTCTTTCGGAGGAAACAGCATTTGATCCAGCCTGTTTTTGAAAGCTACAGAGTTTGAATATTGTTTTTTTTTTTTTTTTTTTTTTTTACAATGATATTCATCCTGTACAAGGCCCAAGGGTCACGCGAAGTAGAGGGTTACAGAGTAAGAGGCACAGTTTATTCGGATATGTGGGACAGATAACGGTTAACCTTAGAATTGAACAGGTTAAGATTGTAGTGATCGGGAAAGCATCCTCTTGGGAGTCAGTGTCACAAAGCAGTGATTTGAATGGGATGGGGGAGGTTGGCTACAATGCGTTTGTGAGGATAGTATCATCTTCACAAACTTAAATCAGCTGTAAAAGTGTTACGCAACAATCCCAATATCAATATGCAAAAGCGCTGTCAAAACCAACAGTCATGTAGCATTTAACTGACAAGATTGAAACCAGGAATTAGAATTCATCCTAAATTAATAACGATTTACAGCAAAACCCTTGAAAATAGCTAAAGACGTAACCCACATCACTTGGGATACTAAACACTATGGACAATTTGTACATACATTTACATTAACCAAACGGAGAAATTTAAGAATACTAGAAAATCTCAATTTTTTTTTGTCATATTCAAAGAAACATTTTTCATAGAAAGATTGCTACCCAGATATACAATATATACAGTGTAACCCGGATATAAGAGACCCGGATATAAGAGAAACCCGGATATAAGAGACTTCTGCTCCGGTCCCGACAAATCTCTTATATCCGGTATACGGGTTTATATATATATATATATATATATATATAAATAATGGATTCTCCCGTCGGCTTCGACGTATGAGGATCTGACAGCTTATTGATTCAGTTATGAAAGCTTGTGCGATAATCTTAAGTGGCATCTAAGACCCGCTAGTGATTTACAAAGGAGGCCACATATGGAGCAAGTGTGAGGATTGTGAGATGAGATCACTCTTAGATTGGCTGACCTTTTAGATCTTGCTCTCGCTTCTTGAAGATGATTCAGACAAGCAGATTGAAAATCGTTGAGTCCACTAAAACACGTTGATCTCTATTCTACCCGCTTCAAGGCTAAGCGCTCAAGGGTGTTATGTGGTATATTGACAGATGACAAGTCTTTCTATCTTACCCATGGGCGTTCCACATTTCTGTAGCCCTGATCTAACTGGCTGTTGCTGGACGCAATCGTCAGGCCACTAATGCTGGATTTTTCCTCGGCTACTTATATATATATGGTGCATTGTGGGTAATCTATTCTGGTGGTTATTTTTATTATTATTATTATTTTCGACATTATTTCTTACTGCTTTAAACGTTTTGTGGAGGGGAGGGGTGATACCCATGTTTGAATAGACGTCCTATTTTGAAAGTATGAACTGGGCTTAATGACCTGCGCATTCGAGAGGTTTTTATTAAAGATTATGGGCTCTCCGGTTGTCTTCAAACCTGATCATTTTTTAATACGAAAACGAAAAGAATAAATAATGCAAAATAAAAATGAAAAACAAGTAAAATAAATTAACCCAAACAAATAAATAAACACACAAGCCACTCCCGCAAAAATAACTTTATATTTATATTTACATACGCTCCATTTCTGATATTGAGCACTTTATCCCATAAATATAGCACACCTTAAAACTATATTTCTACACACACACACACACACACACACACACACACACACACACACACACACACATACACACACGGGCCACTGGCGTATTTCCCTTTCACTCTGCCGTGTGAGGATAGCCTAGGTATAGGATCTAAGACTGATATCAAATCGGTCGGGTCTTGATCCTGCCGTGAAGGAATCGGACGTCTAGCCACACTGAAGAGCTGTGATACAGCGAAATAGTCTGTCTGTGGATGACTATATATATACTTATATATATATATATATATATATATATATATATATATATATATATATATATATATATATATTTTCTAGTGCAAGAAAATCTAGTTTAAGGATAGCTAGGAATAAGCACCTTTACGTTTAAAACACACACACACACACACACACATATATATATATATACACACACACATATATATATATATATATATATATATATATATACGCACACAAACACTGTTGTTCTAATTAATTGAAACAAAATGAATAATTCTGTTATTTATTTTTTTTTCCCAATCGAACATGACCCAGTGCACATGTTAGTATTAGGTTGGTGCAAAAATAATGACGTAATAATGTCGTTTTTTGACGTATTTCAGTAGCGATAGTGCAGTGAGAGGCTTACAACATCCTGCCTGTGAGAGAGTGAGGTTGAACGGTGGAAAATATTAGGTTGGTGCAAAAATAATGACGTAATAATGTCGTTTTTTGACGTTAAAAAATACGTCAAAAAACGACATTATTACGTCATTATTTTTGCACCAACCTAATACTTCGTGTGTCCATTTCATGTTGGGTTTACATCGGGGAGTTTCCGGGCCAGTTTATTGTTCTTTGATTTGCTCACTGGTCAGTCCTGCCGGTGTGTTCATGCAGCGTTACAGTTTTCGTACGCTTCCTTGGAGTAACGTCCATCGCTGACAATGGCCGTAAGACAAGTCATCGACACACGAGACAATAGTGGCCGAGAGGGATAAAAATCTGATGCAATGACGGATGACGCAATATTTTTCAAGTGAGAAACAAATTTTATCACACACCTCGAGAATAGATTTATATTCCTGCACACCACTGCGAATGACGTAATCGGGAGCAAAAAAATAGAAATCGATTACACGTTGTCATACCGATGGGTCTAAAACTGAACGTATGGTGAACAAAAGGAAACTAAAGTAGTTGTTTCAATTAATTTGTACAAAGGTGTCCATATATATATATATATATATATATATATATATAAATACTTGCACATTATTTTGTTATTTATTCTCAATATTGCAATTTAACGTGAGTCTGTCCTTGAGTGTTATATATATAGATAGATATATATGAAGAAAAATATACAGAAAAAACAAACAAAAATCTTAATATGCAATTATGCTGTATTAATGTTAATATAAAGTCAACGTCGGACGTTTCGGTCTATTTTAGACCTTCTTCAGGACATTTTCATTTAAACATAATTAGCATTAGAACATATATATTAAGAAATGGACAAAGTCCAACAATTTATTTATTAAGGACATTTTTATGTTTAACGTTCTTTTTTATATAACAGAGCATTTACTTAAATACCTGTATCTATAAAAAAAAGAACGTCAAACATAAAAATGTCTTTATTAGAATATATAAAAATTCAACACGATTAATTAATGTTAAACTTAAATGAAATAAAATGGTCTAAAATAGAGAAACATATGAAAAATTCAACACGATTAATTTTTGTTTGTTTTTTTCTGTATTTTTCTTTAATCTATATATATATATATATATATATATATATATATATATATATATATATATATATATATATAATTTATTTGCCGATGGTATCTATATATTTTGATAATGGAGGCTATTTAAAAGTGAATGGTTGCTCAGAATTAGTATATGGTACAAAGGACCTTAGCTCATGAGGGCCAACACAGATCGTGAAACTGCAAATATAATGATTCTCAGACAAATATTGTCTTCCCCTTTATCAGTACTGGTATAGATAAGAATTATTATCTATTTATAATTGCCTCACTTTAGGCAGTAAGCCGTTCCCCGGTTGGTCACGTCTCCAAGACCCCACCGGCAGCACTTTAAGTGGGGCCAACGTATCGACAGACGCAAAGCGATTGATAGGAACAAAGAAACGCTACCAAGTCGATTGCATTATGAATTCGAAAGGCCCAAAGATATCACGCGCGCGAATGCGCACACGCGTACACACATATATATATATATATACGCAGGCAGATAAACTTCTAAGCGCATGCGCACACATGGAAGCACTTAGACGGCCTGTTAAATAGATAGGCACAAATGCAAATAGGTGGCCCGGGAAAGCAATCATACGAACCACGCAATAGTCTCCGCAATACGTGGATATTCTTTCAGCCATCATCTGTTAAGAGGAACGTGATTAATAGAGAGAAAAGAAGATAGAGCGATATATAGAGAGAGAAAAGAGGGAGAGAGAGAGAAAAGAGAGAAACAAAAGAGCGAGATGTAGAGAGCTATAGAGAGAGGGGATATGAACAGATAGATAGATAGATAGATAGATAGATAGATAGATAGATAGATAGATATGGAAAGAATAGATAGACAATGAAAAGAATGTGATAGACAATGAACAGACATAGATAGATAGATAGATAGATAGATAATGAACATAGATAGATAGATAGATAGATAGATAGATAGATAGATATGAAATGAATGGGATCGATAGAGGCAGGGGATTGGAGGAGGGGGAGGAGGAGGCGGGGAGGAAGAGGGGGAGGAGGAACAGGGGTGGAGGAGACGGAGGTTTTTTCCCGTCGGAGTAGATGTAGCGGTTGTAGTATTTGTTCTGGCGGCCTTCTCCCTTACGTCCTCCCCCCACCGTTGCGTAACCTATGTTACGTCGGAGTGGTATGAGCGGCTATGACGAGCTCAGACAAGCTATGACCAGCTGAGACCAGCTAAGACCAACTTCCAAAAGCTTTGACCAACTTAGACTATCGGCCCGAGTGTTTTCACTCGGGTCCCCACTTTAAAAACTGACCTCTGTTTCAAGGTGAATTTTCAGATAGTTGTAATTCGTTTTCTACGATTTATCAACATTTCAGGTTATTTAAAGCCAGAAAAATTTTTTTTAGATTGCAAGAATTTTTTTATTTTCACATAATAATATTTTAGTGGTATAAGTCTTACTAATTAACCCATAGTTGGGGAGAGAAGGGAATTCATAGCTTTCCAAGAGAAATTTTTTTGGGGGAATTTTTAAAATTTTGGGGGGAATTTTTGATTCAAAAAAAAAATTCACTTGAAGATGGAACAGAGCTTGGTACTTTAATTCAATTTAATTCAAATAATTATATTGAAGATTTTGGCTCTTGTTTTGAAACATGAGAACACTTATGTAGCAATGGAATCATATTTTTTAAATTTTAAATAAATAATATATATATATATATATATATATATATATATATATAGGCGTGTGAACGACTTGAGAAAATGTTAACTTACCAACCATGAGACCCGTTATTTTTCATGATCAATTTGTTTAGAAGGCTTCTTGATGTTATCGGGGTTTTTTTGGGGGGTTGCCTTTTTTGTGGGGGGGGATTTTGAAAGAACCTAAAAAATCATAGCACGGTTGTGGCGTACTTTGCGTAGTCTATAAAACATAGGCACACATCCTTCTGCCTCTGTATCCTTCTTTCTGATAACATTCTGAGCATGAAATATCGCGTTCCTTGTTCCGGTGTCTTTAACGAACCCGCACTCTTCTTGTCCTATCTCTGGCTTGATTCTGTTTCGCGCTCTGTTCATTAGAATACGGATGATGAGTTTTGACACGTGATTCATTAGGCTTATTGTTCGGTGGAGTTCGCATCCGTTTGCGCCTGGCTTGTGCTATGAAAATAGATCTGCTGAGATCTTCCGGTACATCCACACGGTGGTAGATTTCAATTATTATTACTGTAATCTTTTCTATGCCAAAGTCATCTAAGGCTGTCAGCATTTCCGTTACAATTCCGTCTGGCCCTGCCGCCTTGTTTCTGTTCAATATGGCCAATGCAGCTTCTACTTTTGTCTTTAGAATCCCAGGCCCGTCAGTAGTTCTGTGTATTGTTGGTTGTTCTTTTTCGTCGTAATTGAATTCTCCAATATACTCACTTCCTTCTCTAATATAATCGTACCATCCTTGGATTTTATGGAGCCTGTTGACAAGTATGTCTGTCCTGTTAGTCCCTTATTTGTTTATACATATCTCCTTTGTTGGTCATACTCAATCTCTCTATTTCTGCACATTTTTCATTTAGCCACTCTTCTTTAGCCTGCCTGCATTTGCTCATTATTGCATTCCGTATGTATTCCATTTTGTATCTCTAGGCAGAGTTTTCTGTCTCCTTTGTATCATGTAGAATCTCATTCATCCATTCATTTTTCTTCTTCATTTATTTGGGATGATATCCTTTTCTGATGTGTACTGCATCCTATTTCAAGTTTTCTTTGTGTGGTATCTTCTTTTCACATCGTCCATATATTTCAGTTTCAGGTCACTAAGGAGTTTGTTGTATTGCAATTTGGATGCTGAATTAGCTTCTTCAATTTCTGCAGTTTCTTTAGCATATAACAGGGTGATGCCTGCATTTTAGGTTTTGCATGAATCATTGCATCCTGAATCTTTTGTTGGTAGTTATGTAGTCAATTTGGTTTCAGAATTTCAGGTCCATCAGTAGTTTTGTGTATTGCTGGTTGTTCTCTTTCATCGTGAAAGAGTTCCATTGAAGAATTTTTCCTTCTCTAATTTCGTTCCGTCCTTGGATTTTTATGGAGCCTGTTGACAAGTATGTCTGTCCTGTTAGTTTTTTATTTGTTTGTGCATATCCTTTGTTATTCCATTTTG